ACGCCGGGTGTCGTGCCAGGTGCTCGGACAGACGGCTCAGGCGCAGCATGGTGGTGTCGTGTCGGCGCCCTTCCACGGGTCCAAAGAAGTGGATGCAAATTCCATCGGGGGCCGCGATCGCTTGGTAGTTGAGGCAGTGTACACGTTTGTGTCCACTGTACACCTGGCGTTGCAAGTTATTTCCCTCACAGGTGGGAGAAATACGGCACGTCTGCAACTTGGTTCCATCGATAAATCCGTAGACATTGGATAAGGGGGCGCCCTTAGCATGAACCGCTTGGCAGTACGTGTCCATGTTTTCGCGTACGAGACGATCGTTGAAATACATCAGGGATTTCCACCGGTCGTATATCTCTCCAACTACGTGCGCAAAGATTTCGCAGAGTGCCGCCCTGGAGCGGCCAAACGTTTTGGTCATCGTGTGGAACCGAACGGGAAAGGCAAGCCGACCGAGCAATACACACATCGCCTCGTCGCGAGTGACCCGGTAACGCCGCTTTGTTATCACAACAGCGGGGAGGCCGAGAAGGTACGCTAGCCTCCTGATTCCTGCGACGTCGAATCTGTATTCCAGCAGAGCGTTTGCATCGGACACGGCGCTGAGATTGTACCGAACGTCTGGGTACAACGGCCGATCGACGTAGCTGAGAGCACACAGGAGCAGGAAGTTCTTCTTTTGACGAGCTGACTTCACAAACGGAACGATTTGCGCGAGCTCTCTCAGTGTGAGCACCATCGCGGCGCGACGCAATTGCCAGGTTGCGCTACGTACAAAGTGCTTCCGGATGTTGTCAAGTTTATGCGGACTTGTCGGAGCTGAACGGCAACAGAACCTTGCAGGACAAATAGATTTTGACAGTGAATTCTGTTCGCGCCAACATGTCAGAAAAATGGCTTTGGGAGCGGAACGGGAGCGGGAACGGACGTTTGCAGAATCTCTCTAATGTCGCAGCGATTTTCATGAAGACTTCGAGGGTCTTCACAATAGTTAGCTGGAATTGTTAGGAAGCAGTTGAGACTTTCAACCGTTTGCCATGATTGCGTC